TATGGGGCTGGAAAGCAAGAGAGGAAATACGGACCTAAAATCCTCATCTTTGCCTTTCGGAGGGCTTGGGTGGGGCTGTGGTACAGCTCGCTCGTCTTGCGCCATAGAGCGACAGCAGAGAAGAGGGAGCCCATTGCTCTGCAGGAACACACGCATGCAATGCATGCAAAAAGTTTCTTTATACTTATTCATATTTTCACGGGGTATCTGATGAGCTGCACTGTTATAAAGAACATGAACAACAAACCCCAGAAACGCTGCTGCTGCTTGAAACCAAAAAGCTGAATGCGTTGTATATCCCCCTTTGGTGCTTCCCCAGCAAAAGCAAGAAAGCAGGGGAGAGAGAAGACACAGATATATACAGTTTGAGCAGCTATTCAAAGAAAAGGGTTTAATTTATTGGGGGCAATGAAGGGGCTGCGTCTGGCTTACAGAAGAAAGCTACCCCAGGCAGGACCAATGACTGGGGCGGTGTTCTTCGCCGATTTTGCCTGCCGCCCAGCCCCACCTCTGCGGGCTTTAAGTCGGCGTAGGTTGGGACCTACAGAAGAACTATCGGGGCCCTCATTGGGTTGTTGTTCTTCCTCAAGGGTTTCTTCTCCCTCGAGGAGTTGTTCCCCTATGGGCTTATCCCCAACCTGCTCTGAAGCAGCTTCTTGCTGCAGAGAAGCATCATCTGCTGCTTCACCTGCAGAAGGCACAAGGCCTGAAGCGAGAGAAGGAGAATTCGCGTCTGAAGAGCCAACAGCCAAAAGGCTGCAGCACAGACTCGTTGAGAGAGCCGCTACGAGGGCCGTACGAAGGCTCATCTCGCTGCGGAGAGATGAAGGGGATAAGCAGCGGCCAGTATGGCAGGTAAAAGTGCGTTAGAGGGTAAAGACGGAAAAGGGGCCCCGTGGCATCGACGCGCAACGCAAACAACACAGATTCCCAATAAGAGAGACGACTTGCCGAAGAAGGGGAGGGGGGAGAGCTGCTAAGGGACTAGGCCCCCTCCCCATAACGCGTCCCTCCTTTCTGTCCTTCCCTTTGCATAAATAATGGGACCTGGCGCAGAAGGAAAACAACCACGGATCTCACCGCCTCTGCAGCGGTATGCACAGCTCAGCCACAGGGGGGGCGAGCGGTCCGTCAGAAGGGGAGGCTCAGTGGAAAACTGAGGGGAAAGAGGCAGCCATAAGGGCTACTATGGAACAGAAAAACGTAATATAAAGCAATTCATAAACAGCAGCAACCGGGGATCTGCCGCATCCTATGCTCTTTGCCTAGCACCCAGAAACGAGTCCCCTTGCCTTCCCCCGCAGCCACGAGGGCTGGCATTGCTTGGTGTACACCAATGCTTAGCGGGATATATATTTATCCTCTTCTTATGCACGCCGAGTTATACATATTAAATTATACTAAAAACTCTTTAATAAAACCTCTATATAACCTAAAATTACTCTTCTCTTTCACTCGATCGCATCCTCCCCTCCATTCCATGAGCTCTGTGGAAGCCCCAAAGGCTTTCCTTCCCCCTCGTGCTCCCCGCAGGTTTTCAGGCACCGATTGGGGCATCTTTTGAGAAAAGAAATAGAGCTTTCAGCTAAGTTGCAATGGTTTTTGCCAAAGGAACCGACGTACATTGCGAAGAAAATACCAACATACCCATGCGGGTGGCGACGCCACTGCCCTTGACCGAAACTGTAACGGGTGTACGCGATCTTATTCAAAGATCGTCCCGAGCTACAATAGACTCAAAATAATTAATATATGAGTTTCCAAAATG